TTAGTAAAACAGCTTTTATGTGTGAATTTGGTAACAAATATTGTGCTTCAATCTTATGTTAATTTACACATGTACTTTTGTTTGCAGGTTTTTGGTGGTTGCACACAATCCAGGTCATTGTCAGTTTAGAGCTTAAAGGTTTTGTATGTTTTCGTTTAGATAAATGGCGATATAGAGCCTACAATCTATCACATATTTACGATGACCTTCTACTCCAACCAAGGGAACAGAGGACCCCACGGAAAAGGCCTCAAATACCAACAGAGGGTGCACGTTATCGGATGACATCAGCCGATGACGAAATGATCTGAGATTAGGTCATATACCCGATGAAGATACTATTTCGAAACCGGTTTAAATACTGTAGTGTTTAAATATTTAAAAGCATTTACTTAAATTTAATACTGAAAAGCATATTGTGGATAAAGCATTTATTTAAAAAATGAAAATTATTTCATTTAAAGAGTTTAATACTGTGGAGCATGATATGCATAAACTATTTTTTTTAACAGATTTAATTTCTGTGAGGCAGGTTCTTCATTTAGCCACTTTTTTGAAACAGTTTTAAATATTAAAAAGTTTTAAATATTTTTCTGTTAAAACAGATTTGAATACTGTGAAGGCTTTTGTGGATAACACTTTTCTTTTACATATTTAAATACTGTGAAGCATATTGTGTTTAACAATAAAACAAGATCGACTACTAACATGTCTATTATTATGTTGTTTTGTACTGTAGCACTAAACAATTTTTGAAATCCATTCAAATCCAAATCATACATTTCTACCAACCTTTAATACTAAAACTAAAAATCAGTACACCCTTTTATGTACTGAAGTATCTATTAGTATTTACGAATTGCATACTCACAGCATTTTACTGCTAGTTTAATGTTAATGAATAGGTATACTTACTCAGTTCTATCCCCCATTTAATATCAGTAATGAAGCACTTCAGCATCATAGGTTTCTGTTTCGGAGTTTCTGGGGAAAAAAAAACAGATTTATCAATATAAAGCAAAACAAAAATGTTAATGTTATAGGGAAAAATATTAAATATGAATGAATGCGAAATTGGAACAGGAACAGAACACAATTATATAATTTGGGCCAGCTTTAATTAGTTTACATTGTCTAGTACTACTGTTTCGTTTGAATAATGAATGACAGGAGTCAGCATAAATTAATCGGTTTGCTTTATTTTCAAACAAGCACCAGCAGTCAGGTTCGAAAACCTGTAATAAACAAAACATTCAAAGAAATGCAAAAAATAAGCTAAAAAATGCATATTCAAGACACTAAACACCGACGTTGGCGGCGTCCTCTAACTCCAGCTACATGTTATACTCTCGCGATCTCAATCAATGTATTTTACTATAGCATAACAAAATCAATAAATGACAATTAACTCTTCTGTAGTTATTATCTGATTAATCGGTACCACATAAGGTGTCACTAGAAAAGCCATCAATCAATTATGTGAGCTGGAAACTTAAATCGTAAACATGAGCTAGTATTTAGGCCTACACATTGTACATCACCATCTACACATGTGATATCAATTAACTCCGGCCAAAAGATAGTTAGCCCTAGACTAATCCTATAGGGTGAAACTAGCGCGGCAATAAACCTACGCTAGCTCAACTTACAACAGTACGGTATTAACACGAATAACGGGAAAGCATCATCTATATGAATCTACTACTGTATGTGTTAATTAATTACTACGTCTAGCACTTCTTAACTTATATCATTATAAACGAAATCTCAATTCAACGCTAAGTTGACTCGGTAAACGCAATACTACGGCTATGGAAACCCCTATAGAAACACTGGGGGCGCCAGATACTAAAATCAAATTACGCACTCTGTGAAACACTCCCCCCACCTACTAAGTAAAAATATCAGAACCTTAAGACAATTTTCTAGTCACTGCGTATTAGCATTTAACTACTAGTAGTCATTACAAATTAAAAGCCTAAACGATCATATAATAACGATCAGATCTGCTAGTAACTCAAGCTCAATACATTACTATATGTCTAATCAAGCTATTGTTCTTCAACTGTTATCAGCAAAATCAGTCTCTGCACTGCTCGCTTCACGTGGCTCGACCTTCCTGATTCACTAGTAGTCTTCAACTCGACACTCCTCACCAATCTTCTTGAGTCTGGATAAACTTCAGAAACTCTACCAAGTCGCCACTGTCCTCTCTTCACGTTCTCCTCCTTAATAACCACAACATCTCCCTTCAAATTACGATGTTCCACATGCCATTTTTTTCTCACGATAAGTGTAGGAAAGTAATCCTGTGCCCACTTCTGCCAGAATTGGTCAGTCAATCTCTGAACAAATCTCAATCTTTGTGCATTATTACCCAGCTTACACCAGGGTCCACTTGGAGGTCTCACAGATGAACGTCCGAGAAGATTATTTGGACATAAGTAACTTTCTGGACTCGTAGGATGCTTGCCAATAGGTCGCTCATTCATCAAGTTTGCAATTTCATAAAGCACTGTCTGCAACTCCTCGTACGACAACACCTGCTCTCCTATGACATGGAATAACGACTTCTTAACTCCTCGAATTAAACTCTCGGTGACACCATTCTGCCACGGTGCGTCTGGTGTGGAAAATGTCCACTCAACTCCATGACGAACTCCGAACCCTTTGATACTCTCCTTTGCTGCGACTAGTTGACTGCCACAATCACTGAATATTTCATTCGGGTATCCTCTTATGGATACAAACCGTCTAAACACCTTCAAAAAGGAATCCTCACTATAATCCGTCATCAAGTCTAAATGAACTGATCTTGTAACAAGGCAATTGAATATTACTCCGTAGGCCTTGCCTCTCACTCGCTTTTGGACTTCTCCCTTGACTTTCAGTGGTCCAAACAAATCACATCCTACCGAGCTCCAAGGTGGCAAAGGTTTCAGCCTCTGCAAGGGCAAGGGTGCCATTTGCTGCCTTATCTCTTCACCTTCAAACTTCCTACATCGGACACAGCTATGTCTTATACTGGTTACTAACCGCCTAAGTCGCACCACCCAATAATGTGATCTGATCTTAGTCATCGATGTGTCAACACCATTATGGCCGTCATCGTGTGTCATTACAGCGTACAACTTAGTAAACTCGTGATCATGTGACAGCAGAAGAACCATTTCGTGGTTGTAACTGAAATGCACATGTTCCTTAACCCGATCTCCAACGACAATAACATCATCTTCTCGAAGTCGTGGACCTAAGCTACCATACCTTTTGAGGAACTTAGGATACTCTTTGTGCATTAGGTCTCTGAGCTTCCTTAATCCAATATAGCTCCGCTCCTTTTAGTTTCTCTGTTGTTACCATCAGCGATGCTGACTTGAAACTCTTACCTTTCAGAACCTCCAGGACAATAGCCATCACTCTTAATAACTTTGAGTAGCTGCTAAACCTTTGAATCTGGATAGAATTAATAGATGTCTCTTTTACTTCCACTGTCATCACAACACCAATTCTCTCTGGGATTTCTTGAGTGCACCTTTGGGAAATTGGCCATTCACTGGCTGGCCTACTCAGGAACTGTGGACCCATTTGCCATCTGCTCCGTTTGGACAGCACACTTGGAAAACCTCCTCTAGATATTAAATCCGCCATATTAGACTCCCCCGGTATCCACCACCAGTCTTGTGGATCGGAGAGCTGTTGAATCTCCCCGACCCGGGTGGCTACAAAAGTCTTGAAACCATAACTCTCCTTCTGTACCATGGCTCTTACTATTTGGCTGTCCACAACGTAGAAAACTCTCTCAAACTCCATACTGGTCTCATCTTTGATTGTCTTAGCTAAACGAACACTAACACTGCTGCGCTAAGTTCTAACCTTACTATGGTTGTTATTTGTATAGGTGCCACCCTACTCTTGCTTGCCATGAGCCTCACGGAGTAGGTACCATCTTCGCATTCATACCATACATAGGCCACGGTTCCCATTGCTCTTTCCGATGCGTCTGAAAACAGTTTAGGAGTGGTTTTACCCCTTCCTTTACGTTGCTCAATTTAATGCACCTCTCTATTTGGACTTGACTGCACGTTCTAATGTCGTCGAACAACGCCAACCACTCTTTAACATCTGCTTCTGCTATCAGTGCATCCCAAGCTAGCTTTTCTCCCCATAATTTCCGCAACAATATTTTCGCTCTTACCGTAACTGGTGACAACAGCCCGAAGGGGTCAAACACGGCATTCATTCGGCTTAAACACCTTCTCTTTGTCAATCCATCCGTTATATCATCTACCACATTGCCGCACGCCACGCTCAATTTGTCTGCTATTGGCCCCACTTTAAGCCCAGTACCTTCAATGCTTCAAACTCGTTCGACGAATTGCTGGAAATTATTCACCTTTTAATCTTGAAATTCCCCGACTCCAATACTTTATCCATTTGCTCTGTCTTCTTTAGCGCCTTTTCCTCACTCTCACAGGAGTCCAGAACGTCGTCCATGTAAACGTTCTCCATAAGTGTTTTGACAGCCTCCGGGAACTCTTTTTCACTCATTTTCGCCGTCTTATGCAATGCACTGATTGCGATCGTTGCTGCAGGTTTATCACCAAAATTTACTGCGGTCACGCAATATGTACTAGGTGTTCTCCCAACCTCCATATTTCTCCACAAGAACCTGTGACAATGCTGGTCCAACATAGTTATCCCTACACTGTGATACATTTTTCGTATATCACCTACTATTGCCGTTCTCTCCCGCCGGAATCTCAATAAGACACCTAACAAACGGTTGTTGAGATCTGGTCCCTTTGCCCAGTAGTTATTCAGTGTGTGACCTCGGTAGTTCGCACTGCTATCAAAAACTATCCTCAGTGGTGTACTCTCACTATCCGGCTTAGGAACTGCATGATGGGCTATATAATGAACCGGTCCACGGTACTCATGCAACTCTGTGTCAGACACCTCTTTGGCTACCTCTCTCTCAATCATGTCCTGTATCTGTTCATTGTACAGCTTCGCCTTTTCTGGATCTTTCTCTAACGAGTATAGTTTTGCCAAAGCTACATTTCTGTTGTCTGGCAACTCGTTAGGATTCTTCACCCAAGGATATCTAGCAATCCTTCGCCCATTTTGGTATGTTAAGCCCTCTTCTATCAAACTTAGCTCTCGATCCTCCTGCAACATGAACTCCTTTGCACCTAATGGGCATTTACCACATTTACATCCACCACACTTAGGGTTACACCGAACTCCAATACTCTCGATAGTTAAGAACTGATTATAAAGAGTATCAACTTGCATCAAATGTATAGCTGCCAACGATTCACTCGCGCAAACTGGATGCCATCCTCCTACGCATTTACCAAATGGACTGGTACTTAACATTAGATTACCCACCACCTTTATCTTCTGAGGTTGAAGATTGGCGTAGTCTAAGCCAATCAACAGCTCTACTCTGCCTACAGGTCTATCAACTGTCCTCCAATCCACCTTCAGTAAACCGGCTAGTCGCTTGACATCCTGAACCCTTAAGTCACTGGTAATGCTCTCCATACCATATGCTTTAACCTTCACAATATCTCCACTTCTGTCTTTCAATAGTATGTCGTACAACTTTGTTTCTACCACGTTTTCTTCTCCGCCTACCTTGGTTAGTTTTATCTCTACATGATCTCCTTTAGCACCAACTCTTATTGCAGCCTCATGTGTTATTATTGATGCTGTTGCTCCACTATCAAATATTGTGTTAAGCTTCATCCCATTTCTAGCTTTAACAGCAATCGCCATCAGCATACAACCTCCAGGCTTAAAAACCGCACCATTATGTTTCACCTCCCTTGGCTTCTCGGGCTGTTGAAAGTGAATAGATGGATGGTGTTTTCTCTGGCAACCATCTTTCCCACAGTATAATTTCTTACATTTAAATACACCATGACCTGGTTTCAAACATCGGAAACATGCTCTCTTTTCCTTAACTAGTTGTATTCTGTCACTCACAACTTTCGCCAGGTATGCTCTGCAGTCTTCTGTCGTGTGCTGGGCACTATCGTGGATCAGACACCAACTGTTAGCTAGTAGTGGTTCACGAACATCAGCCGTATGCACTGATGCAGTTGGTTTGGTACGCTGGCTTGTGATATGGCAGCTACGCAAACTCTCTATAGAGTATTCTACACTCTTCCTTTCCTCTTCCAAGAAACTCAATAAACCAGACATCTTCTCAGTTTCTCCGATTTTATTTTTCTCATCATGTATGTGTCGTACCCATCTTTTAAACACATCGTCCGGTAATTTCTTCTCTATTTCTCCAACCACTCGAGAATTGGTCATTTCCTTCTCCAAGCCAGCTCTCTCCAAATTTCGGTAGCTAACCTCCACTAGATCGATGAATTCCACCAACTTTCTATCTTCACCCTCCTTTACCGCTCTATGCTTCACCAAATCACCTACTACTACATCCAGCAGCTTTGATCTATTACCATATCTGTCGTCTAACCTCTTCCACATCTTTTCAATCTTGTCCTCCGCTGGCATAACAACTTTCATTGGCTCACTACCTAAACAACTTCTCAATGTATATGATAACTGGTCACTATGTGTCGTTGGTTTCACAAACCTTATCTCATTATACCATTTATCTTCCTGATCCTCATCCTCTTCTTCCTCTACTTTGTTGATCACCGCATCGTGAGCTGTACGAAGGTTACGCCAGCACTCCTAGTTCCTCAATATAGCCAGCAGACATTTTTTGTGCCAATGCCGATCTTAATGAGTCACCCTGACTCACAAAGTTTCTCTTGCATGCATTTCCATGCTCTCTTTGCATCCTCCATGATATGTTTTATCTCTAGGTTTAGCAGCAAAATTGCTTACCTCCCTTTAGGTTGTTACTCTCTTCAGCTGGTTGAGCTGACGTTTTCGAAATGTTTCGTTTGAATAATGAATGACAGGAGTCAGCATAAATTAATCGGTTTGCTTTATTTTCAAACAAGCACCAGCAGTCAGGTTCGAAAACCTGTAATAAACAAAACATTCAAAGAAATGCAAAAAATAAGCTAAAAAATGCATATTCAAGGCACTAGACACCGACGTTGGCGGCGTCCTCTAACTCCAGCTACATGTTATTCTCTCGCGATCTTAATCAATGTATTTTACTATAGCATAACAAAATCAATAAATGACAATTAACTCTTCTGTAGTTATTATCTGATTAATCGGTACCACATAAGGTGTCACTAGAAAAGCCATCAATCAATTATGTGAGCTGGAAACTTAAATCGTAAACATGAGCTAGTATTTAGGCCTACACATTGTACATCACCATCTACACATGTGATATCAATTAACTCTGGCCAAAAGATAGTTAGCCCTAGACCAATCCCATAGGGTGAAACTAGCGCGGCAATAAACCTACGCTAGCTCAACTTACAACAGTACGGTATTAACATGAATAACGGGAAAGCATCTGTAACGTTCTATCTATATGAATCTACTATGTGTTAATTAATTACTCACGTCTAGCACTTCTTAACTTATATCATTATAAACGAAATCTCAATTCAACGCTATGTTGACTCGGTAAACTCACTACTACGGCTATGGAAACCCCTATAGAAACACTGGGGGCGCCAGATACTAAAATCAAATTTCGCACTCTGCAAAACAAATACCAATTCGGGCAATTTTCTTACAACACTAAGAAAATATTCCTCTGTTGTGATTGGAATTATTTGTATAAACAAATTTACTTACGCCTTTCTCCTTCCACTTTACAAGTTGGTTTCTAAATGGAAGTAAATGTATCAACTTGACAGAAAACCTCCAAAATTAAAAAATATCCATTCACATTACTCTCTATCCAGCAATGCAAATGGATACCTGGTAGGATTCTCAAGCTTGGTCTATTCAAATAAAGTATTTGGAACAAGTCATCCTAATCTACAAATAAAACAACTTTCCTATTTACAAGATATCTGCTAGAATTATTAAATTAAATCCCAGAAAACCTAGAACTTACTTACTTTCCTGCACCCGGGTACCTAGGGTTACCATATTTATTTTGTTTATTATTTATCATAGTTCTGTAAACATATGATTGACCATGGCAGGATTGTCTATAAAGTACCTTTCAGTTGCCTTTATTAAACAGACACTGTGGATGGTTTAGATAAGACATTGTGGAATAATTATATAAACAGGGCCCTAGTAATTGTAAATCTGAATGTAGTCGCTTCATGGACTTATCAGTCTTTAACAAAATGTAAAAAAAGGCACATTTTAAAAAATAAAAGAAACAACACTTACTCTGCATCACCTGCATGACAGAAAACTTGTACCGATGACGGCAATGGTGGCCATTCCAATACTTGCGAAGGCCACATCATGGACAATGGTATGCCTGGCAATCGAGCCCAATAGATATCTCCTGGATAAATTCAAATTTTTATTATTATTATTATTATTATTATTATTAATATTATTATTATTATTATTATTTATTATTATTTAGTTTTTTACTTTCATGGCATAATATTGTTTAGCCTCGTTTTATCTGTATTTTAAGGTTTTAATTATATAAATGTTCACTGCTTTTATAGCAGTCTTTTTACTATTGAATTGTATTGCATGTTATTATTATTATTATTCTTTCTAGTGTTTTATTTTGCTTTCGCGCTTTTTTATTTTTGATTTAAATTGTTTAGCCTCATTTCAATTGGTTTTAGGAATTAAGTTTTACTTGCCATTTTGGTTTATTGCCGTTTTGACTTAATAGGCCTCTTGCCGTTTTGACTTATTGCCATTTTGACTTATTGCCGTTTTGACTTATTGCCGTTCTGGTTGAAAAGTGTTGCTGTTTTGGTTTTTTGCCGTTTTGCTCATTGCCGTTTTGATTTATTGCCGTTTTGGTTTTTTGCTGTTCTGTCCAATTTTCCACCATTGGACAGGCCTTTTCAATAATGATAATGTTATTGCCATTGATTAGGGCCTAGGCCTATGTATTACCGTTTTAGCCTTAATTATATTAAATTACACAAAAATAAAAGAAATTACACGAAAAAGCAGTATGAAAGGCACAAACATGGGCTGGACTTCAGTGATGATGTCTGATGATGGTGGTAGTCCTACTATCTATGGGCCTACCATTCTACCACCGGGGGGTGAGGGAGGCCTAGGAACAGGCAGGGACTAGGCCCCTATCCTATAGGACTAGGCCTAGCCTAGCATGATTGACATGTAAAAATAATAATCGTTTTTCTATCCTAGCCTAAAATACTAGAATAAGCCCAATCCATGGATAAACAAGAAATAAAACTTACCTTTTTTCCAATCTCCTGCATTTTGTAACCGTGAAGTCCAATAAATACCAAATATATAGTCAATTGATCTCTAACCATGAGGTATCATGTTATCTTTGATTTGCTTGACAGGAAGAAGGCAGCGAAACTGCCTGAAAGACTTGCAGGTGTGTGCTAGTATGTAGATTGTAGTATGATTATTGATAAAACTACTAAACCCAGGACATTTTGTATTTGAAAAGATAGTTAAGCGAGTACAAAATTATAGAGGGGGCTGTTAATTTAGAATAGTAAGACAAATGGTATGGAATATCGGAAAACCTAGCTAAATAAGGACATTTGAGGTGTAGGCCTAGGAGGGTAGGGTAGACTCAAAAGGGGATTGTAGGCCTAGACTAGAAGTGAGGACACGAGATTTGACCTCACTTATTTTTTTTGTCCTGAGATTAATAAGAAAATATAGGCGATTGTCCTCACATTGGTTTACCATGGTACTGATAATATCGAGATTTCTCTTATTATAAAGTACAAGCTATGTTTTATAAAGAAGTATAGTATAGTAAATCATATTTTTAACACAGGAAACTCTCATATGTTAATAAAACAATGCTAGTCCAGAGTATTCCTAGTAGTAGTGCACTGTAATGCATACCTATTTTAATACATCTTGATCTCAGGGGTCAAAAACATTTTTCAATTTTTTCTGGTTCATGGAGCTATGATTTTTTAAATAACATATGTCAGAAAATCAGCCCAAAAGCTTTTCTCATTTCTGTTGGTTATACACTGCTGATTTGCAATGTTTGTCATCACTTCAAGATGTCTACCAATTCGTGAAAAGGCCTATGCCCTAATGAATTCATGAGTCATAATGCAAACATGTAATTCTTTACTGAGGGCTTGCTTTCTTGCAGTTTTTATCTTAACATTGACATCATCTATCATTCATAATTTTTCTCTTAAGATCGACATCATATGTTGTCAATGGAGAAACTGCAAGAGTTCCTAAAAAATCGAGGGCTGACCAGGGTCTTTGAACGATTTCAGGAAGATAATGTGAATCGAGATGATTTTCTTACATGTTTTGATTTTAAAAAAGGGCCTTAAAATAGAAATGCTCTGTAGAAATACGCCTTTTCCACGAATAGATAGACATCTTGAAGTGATGACAACACCCAAGTCAGTGGTGTATAACTGACAAAAATGAGATAGGCTTTGAGGCCAGTGGCGGCGCCAGCGGGGTGGCAGAGACAAAGGCACTGGACAGGTCAAGCTCCCCCGCCGGACAGAGCTTGTCGGGAAGTCAGACCATAAGATATTTAAAAAATAGGCACACACCAAGCCAACACATGTCTGTCACCGTCTGAGAGTGCCATTTTCAGCCATCTAGAGGTTGATATTCTTTAAAAAATTCTCATTTGGGATTGGGAACCCCCTCTCAACCTCTTCTTCCAGCTCAAGCCTATGAGCTCAAGTCTCCCCTGTCAAACAACTTAGCCCCCAGAAAATATATCCTAGAGCCGCCACGGTTTGAGGCTAGCTGAATTCTTGACATGTTATTTAAAAATTCCTAACGGAGGGTTGTATCACATAATTTTCCCTGGAAAATATTTTACACTGTATGATTGAAAAAAATTGAAAAATTGTGTTGACCTATGAAATAATATTGGAAAAAGTAGAGCCTATCTAACTAGTGTATTAGAATAGTACAGCAAGTATTGCAGTAACTAGACTCGTGTAAGTTTTAGTTAAAATATGATATAGAGATTTTCCTTAGTTAAAAATATGGATTACTATATTTCTTTCTAAAACCCAAATTAGTAGTTTATAATAATAGAAATCTGTAAGTCAAACGGTAACTGAAACTTGCACGAGTCCAGCTACTGTTGTACTGCACTAATTAGATCTATTCTAATACAGTGGTGTAGAATAGAACATTTTCCAAGAAAAATTATTGTGATACGACCCTCGTTATGGAGTTAAGGATTTTTAAAACACAAAATCATCAAAGCTCATCTTTTTTTTTTGTTGGTTACACACCATTGGCTTGGGTGTTGTCATCACTTGAAGATGTCTACCGATTCATGGAAAAGGCATATGCAAATACAGGCAAACTCGCTTAAGTCGAATGTGCCTGAGTCAAAAAATTGTTCAAGTTGAAATTATTCTTATGTCACTTCATCCTCTGAATAATCTGATTTCTCATGCATTTCTCCTATAGAAGAATAAAAAATATTTTGCTTTCAGGGTAGGGCGCCGCCAGCACTTAGCGTTAATAGACCCCTTTCAATGTTTACATTTGTCTATCTTTGTCTATCGTCAAAAAAGATATTTTATACATATTCAATCTAAAGGCATCTTATTTTCGCCCAGTCTTTGAGATCATGTTCTACAATTCTAATTTTTGGTTGCTAAATTTTTTTTAGATATTCTGACATTTATTTTGTAGGATGTTTTCCAGAAAGTTCCAATGAAAATAAAGTTTTTACATACACAAATTCCCATGTAATCTCTGTTTTCAAAGTTACACACATGTTATTTAGTTTTTTTGTTTTTTTACTTTTGCAGATTGATAAAAAAGTAATTTTAGAGCTTACAGATGAAGAACTGAAAGACTATGTTCCTGTAAAGGGGGACAGGGTATCTCTCAGAGTGTTTGCTCGCAAGCAGGAAGGAGAAACTTCAGCAGAAAACTTGA